TCCACACATGACTCAGCATTCTCCTTAGAGCGCACAGGTTAAATTGGGTCTTTGCAATGGTTTGCTTTTAGCTCCCATAACCTCAGAAGAATTTTTACTCTTCAGCATTAGATACCCTTAAGCAAAAACTTTTCTCTGTATTTCAAATTTGAAATTAGGGTGGTATATCTAAATGGTTCATCCTGCATGAGCAAAGGCAGTAAATAATAGGAAATTGGGAAGATGTATATGACCAGGTGCAGGTGGACCTAGGGAAAACAGAACACACAATTTTCTGTATTTTGTGAGTCTATAAATCTTTTTTATAGGCTGACACTGGCTTAATAAATGCTCACTGAATGAATGAGTGAATGAATGAATGAATGAATGAGCATCCTATAAAGCATTGAGACATAACATTATTTCAAAAATAGTATTCACTTTCCATTTTTTAGGTAATCTATCAAAATTAACAGTTATATAAAAGTGATGGTAAAGACCAAGTTCTCCATCTGGTTTTCAGGAAGCATTTTCTGCCCTGAAAAGATTAAAGCTAGTAACTATAGCATAGTCGTTGAGGTAGACATGTCTTGGGTGAATGCCTTCACTGTGGGGGAGAGTAGGATGTCATAGTTACCAAGACTATCCAGGGATCAAATACCCAAATTTGTATATTTCATGCCAAAAATAGATTTTTTTTTTTTTAAATATATCTTTATTGATTTCAGAGAGAGGAAAGGAGAGGGAGAGAGAGAGACAGAAACATCAATGATGAGAGAGTCATTGATTGAGCCCACACCCGGGCATGTGCCCTGACCAGGAATCAAACCCTGATCGCCTGGATCCCAGGTCCATGCTCAACCGCTGAGCCACGCCCGGCCGGGCTAAAAATAGATTTTCTTATTCTAAATTGCAGACTGACACCATTCAGTCCACCAGGTTTTCATCATCATATCTGGCCCGGACTTCTTTCTTTTTTAAAAATTGAGATTTAATTCACATACCATAAAATTCATCCGTTTAAAGTGTAGAATTCACTGGTTTTTAGTATATTCACAAAACTGTGCAACCATCACTACTGTCTAATTCCAGGGCATTTTCATCAGCTTATTAGCACGGCTAATGTACTTGTTAGCAGTCACTCCTCTATCTCCCCAACCCCTGGAACCACTTAATCTAATTTCTGTCTCCATGGAGTTGCCTGTTCTGGATATTATAGATATATGGAATCATATAATCTGTAGCCGTTTGTGTCTGGCTTCTTTCACTTAGCATAATATCTTCAAGGTTGTAGTATATATAGTACTTCATCTCTTTTCTGGGGTGGACTTATGCAATGTCCTTTCACCTTGCCTCCTTACTTATACTAGGGTCCCCCAGAACCTGCTCACCACTAAAGTGAGAGCAATCTTTTCCAAAGTTAAATCAGACTATCTTCTTTACTTAAAATCCTCCAAAGGCTTCCCATTTTATTTAGAGAAAAATGTTAACTCCTGTCCAAGACCTTTCAATGATCAGGACCCCATCCTGTCTACTTCTCTAACCTCAGCTCCCCACATTCTACTCACTCACCCTATGCCTGTTACACTGGCTTCCTTCTGCTTCTTGAATGGTTCAGACTACTTGCTGCTTTTGCACTTGATGGTCCTTTTGCCTGGCGCTCTTTTTCGCAGTTCTTCTCATGACAGTTTTCTTCTCATTTCTCTGGCCTCCAATGTCTTCTCAGAGAGGCAAGTCTAGATAATCCTGACTCAAGTATTTATTTTTTCCCCAACTCCCAGTCATCTTCTATTATTTTACTATCTTGTTTTAATTTCTTTGTAGCACTTACTACTATCTGAAATAGTTTTATTTACTGTTACTATCTGTCAAACTCCATGAAGGCAGAGTCTTTAGCTGACTTGGTCATTGCTATATCCCAGGCTTCTAGAATGGAACCTAGACAGTGCTCAGTATCTGGAGGAATGCATGACTATCTTGCCTAGAACTCCTAAATCTTCAGATCTTGCCCCTACTCTCAGTTCCTAAAGCTGGGTCTTTTCACCTATTACTAAACTTTGCTATTGCCAACTACTGCCTTGCTGTATTTCTATCTATTGCCAACTCTTCCATTCTCCTGGCATTCAACCATCCTACCCTTCCTAATGCTTTCTATGATGACTCTTCTGGACATTTCTATCACAAGCTAACAGTTCTTGCTAATCTGAAGGTCCATGATCTAACTGAGTCTTAATTCTTGTAGGTTCTAAGCAGAAATCAAAGTGCGGTTGCCAATGTGTGGTCAGGAATGGAAAAGATACGAGATGAGAGGAATCAGCATTGTACCCAGAATCAAATTGTCAGTCTGGAACAAAGTAAGTGGGAATGCTTTAGATGTTGCACTACACCTGGTAGTATATATTGATGTTCAAGCTCAATTTAAATGAACATAAACTCCTAGGTACTAATTAGGATGTTTGTAACTAAATTGTTAAGCCTCCATTGCAGAGATCTGGGATCTAGCTTCTTTGAAATATCTGGACAAAAGGAGACCTTCAGAATCAGCTTCCTTCTATTTGGCCATTTCTGGAACCCCCAACCTTTGTTTATGGGTGCATAAAGTACCTATCTCCCGCCATCTATCGTCTTTTATCATCCAAGTCACATAACGGCATGACTATTAGTTTGCAAGTCTTTTCTTAAGCATTTCTTCAAAAATAACAACTCATAGAGTTGTTATACACAGAGTAAAGAAATATACACTCAGTAATATACACACAGTAAAGAAAAAGCCATAACTAGGGAGTAAAGTTTGCCACACATTTAACCAATAAAAGTTACAGAATACATAAGGCATCCTTACAATGGGTAAGAAAAAACTAACAATCCAGTGGGGGTAAAAGTGGGCAAAAGAGAGAAATGGACATCTCACTGAAGAGAAAACAATAATGGCCAATACACCTGTGAAAAGATATTTGGCCTCAATAGTGCTGGGAACTGCAAATTCACAACGAGATGCCACACCCACCAAATAGGCAAAGATTTTTGCAAGCACATGGAGCAATGGAAACTTCATGCATGGCAGTGGAGTGTAAATTGGTACAACACATTGGAAAACAATTTAAAGCGGAGTTTAACTAGATTATCCTCTATTACCTAATAGCTCTACTACTCGCTAGATGCCTCAGAAAACTCTTCCACACATGCACCAAGGAACATGTACAAGGACATTCAGAACAGCCTGGTTTGCACAGGAAAAAACTTGCAATGCATGAGTTGTTTCTTTGGCTGATCCTCTGGGAGTATGGAAAGGACTGAGCCCCGTGTTTTCAGGCTTCTCTGTTTTCACTGACATCTCATCCCACATAGGCCCTGAGACTAGGGATCTTTCAGTGCTCCTTCAGGAGGTACAAGGAAGGCAAAGGGGAACCGGAGCCACCTCCAAGGCCTACATCCTTGTTTCATTTTACATCCTTTACGTCTTTTGCACTACTGTTTTTATTATTCTGGGACTAAATCAAAGAACAAGCAATCTTGAATCAAACCTATCTTCAGCCGCCCTTGAACCTGGACCAGGCTCTATAATCTGGCCTTGCTCACCTGCTTCATATATATAAAGAACTTGAAAATGGTAGGCTTTTTTCCCTTCACTTTTTCTGTCAGGGTTATACTTGGCCTGTCTCTCTATTTCTGACAGATTACTCTCCCAATCCGCCTTGTAGTGCAGTTACATGAGTGTGAGTTTGGGCTTCTCTGCCTAATTGTAAACCCCTTTTGGAAAGACCTTACTGTTACTAAATGTATCAATAGGGGCAGGCCTGGTCTATAGTGGGTTGCACAGTGCATGCCTGATATGTTAAAAACCCTGACTTGGGGGGGAAAGCATCTTGAGAGCAGAAGGGCCACTGGCTCTCTCACATGCTGACATCCTTGAACAGACTGTACACATCTCTCCAAGCATCACCAAATGAGAAGCATCATACTTTAGCTTCCCAGGGATGCCAAGAATATGAAATGAACTAGCATGGGCAAGTGCCTGACTTAAAGATGCCCCTTAGGAAATGTTAATGTCCTC